CAATATTATGCGCTATCGGAAGCGTGGTCGACGATTGGCTGAGGTGTTACTGGAGAAGCTGCGTTTGGTGCGCTCCTCAATTACATGTTATATATTTCATAGCTAATTGGTGTAACAGATCAAGCAGCCAGGACAACCTACAGCCCTGGAACCGTTAGTTGATCGTTTATCTCGATGCATCAGGAGATTGGTACTCGAGCACACGTCCTCTGTTATCCTCCCGGCATCCTGGGATAAATACAAGGACTTGATCGCTTCATGCTTGAATCTGAAGGAACTACCTGACAAGACAACACTTCAGAACCTTGCGGAGCGTAACGTACGAGTTCAGTTGCCCACTAACCACCAAGGGACGACTCAACCATTGCCTCAGCAACATGTCATTCATTTGTTCGATTCCATACGGTCTGCACACGATGTTTTGTCCACGTCCTCGGCCTGCTTGAACGCCGTGGAAGACAAGGCTACTCTGGTCGCGAAGTTACTTGAGTGGGCAGCGACTCCGTTTCGTCATGGGTCCCGCCGCGTGTATACGAGTGTTCGCCTGCTTCGGAAGTGGAAGATGTCGGGAATGGATGTTGAATCTTATATTCTCGCTTTCCTTGCGGACACTCAGATAACCAGTCGCGTCAACATGGACAATGTCTATCACATAATCGCCGAACTTGTCCGGTCTCAGACATTCTCTGTGGGCAGGTACCTACAGTGGCTGATGGCGAAAGGGGTAGCGAACGATCCTTTACCCGATCAAAATCAGGTCAGATGCCTCTTCTAGCGTTGGTTGACGATTATATTGACCAAGTGAACTGTAGGCTATTTCGGCCGACGTACGCCTTCTTATACAACTTCCATTGGCCCGTTTGCCAGAATATGTCCGTAACCTCCGCAACACGCTGTTGAGTCGCGCCGGAATTACTGCTTCACATGAGGAATCAACTGTTGAAACTGTCAAAGCGTCTATCGCTCAACGCCTTCCGAAAATCTTTGGGCCACAGGCAAGTGATGCAATGTTGACCGACCAGCCATTGTCGAGTTTGACATGGGCAGTCAAATCCGAGATTGGACTGTGGATTCGTCGTGGAGTATCTGGACACTGTCGTGATCCAGTCAGGTACGCTTTTCACTCCCTTGAAGTATTCCCAGGTCCTAACAGCTGCTAGGAAATATGCACACATACCCATGCTTGCTGATTCGGGTGTTTCTGCGCTCACTCCCGTCGAGTTTTATAATATCCGCGACGTACTGGAAAGCTTTGGAGATATCTCGATGCTTGCCGACGTGCTCAAGCAGGCGACAAACTGCGATGACAATATTGTTCTGGCCTCCGTTGCTGATACCATCAATTTTCATTTCGACTCTTTGAGTGTTATTGGTGCTGCGACAGATCTCTTCAAAGGGCTTGTTGAGTCCTATGCTCGCCTCAAGAGGCTTGGAGCGCCCGGTTTAGATCTCATCTTTTCACTGATCGAGTTGGGGCTACGGATGCCCAGCGAGTTCAACACCGTTGCTCTTCTGCGTCAAGATTTGTCTCGTATTGAGAACAAGTCCGCCCTAGCTGCACCATCTCCGCTGTCGGACAATCTCTCCATGGCTTTCAATGACGCCGACTCTTCGTTCCAGGAGAAGCTAGATCAGATCCTATTCTCCGGAGGGGGAATGGATGAATCCACTATGGACTCTATCTTCAATTCATTGACTGGGGCCTTGGCAAACGAGAATGGTCACGTCAAACTGTCGGCGAATGACATATGCAGGTACCTGGCTTACCTGAGATCCTTCCATCCTAAGCGGTTCGATGCCAGGCTGGTTCGCTGGGTATGTGGTGTTTTAAAGTCACCTTCTCGGTTCGCAATGGTCCGTGTCCTACCTCCTCTTATCGGCGTTGGTTGCGTTACCATACATGCATTTGTGATGCTTGTGAAGAAGCTTTTGCAATCGGAAAGGATAGCCTCCGTAGTCCCCAAAGTCACGGATCTGCAGCTGGATCTTCTTGAACTCCTAGTTCCACCAGAGCCGAGCGGGAGCCGTTACACAGATATGGTATGCATTGTCACTTTGCTTCTAGCTACGCACCCTCATTTCCTTCTGCTAGTCCTGAAGCATGCCCTGCAGTTGTCTAACCCTTCTGTCTAGGTCACGTACCGCTACTATCTAGCGCAACAAGAATTCATTGACAAGCATCCCGAAGAGTGCCTCAATATCATCCGTGCTGCTGTGCCACTGATTAGTACTAGGCAGACAGGAAGTGCGGGTGAAGCGAACGCGGCAGACCTAACAAAGTGCGCCATGTTTTTGCTACAAACCCTACTCACACAGAAACCAGAACGCATGGTACAATGTTGTACGCAAAAGTTAGTTGGCCAAGATCCGGCATCCACGATGATCCTACAAAAGGCTCTCGATGCTTTACTCAGCTTCAATCCACAAGGTTTGTTTGCATTCCCTGCCTGTTAGGTCTAGGCTAATACAATTCCAGATCCCCAGGCTATGTCTGAGGCTGAGAGAGTCATTGGCATGAACAATGACTTCTCGCTCCCTATCTGTCAGTTGAAGCTCCAGCTCTTATTTAATGCAGAGGCTGGGAATGGAGTCGACAATGGTATCGTGGATGTGATGTTCAAGGCAGCGATGGCTGATGCTCGCTCAAAGCGTTCCCACTGGTACGGTTTGGTGAGTTTGATGAACCAGGATGCGGTGCGACAGGTATGAGAATAGCCAACCCTTTGCTCTTGTTTCATCTTCGCTGACTGTTGCAGATCCGCGAGCGAGCTGAAAAGGGCTTTCTTTCTGTTCCTATTCTGGAAGAGCCTGTCGGCGATCCTACAGTGGCGGACAAGTCAAACTCCATTGAAACCGCTCGGCTTTATCTGGCAATTATTGAAAAGCTAGCGTATAGTATTCCTGAAACGGGTGTACCATCTGTTGCGCCAATGTTGGTGGAAAAAATGGAGTTGCTTCTCCAGAAATTCATCACCATGCAGCCAAACCCGGCTACTCCCGCAGAGTCGTGTCAGATAGCTCAGGCGCGTTCGAACTTCGAAAGAAGCCTTGCATTTTGGTTCTCGGCTCTGCTCAGACTCGTTGTCATTCACAGATCAGCATTCAATACGGCGGCACTAACACCTAAACCAATCGGTCTCCAAGAACAAGCTCGCATGCTGGTCTCTATCTTCTGCATCACTCTCGCACGTCTCCCGGACCGAGTTATTCGCCTCTACCCGTCAGCGAATTATTTCCCTCATCCTGTGCAGTCGGAAAGCTACCGCCCATGTCCCGGGATTCTACTACAGACCCACGCTTTGGACGTTGCAGCCGCCCTGATTGATACGTTCCCGGACGAAGCACGACAACAATGTGCCCGTTTCCTCAAGGAGAAATGCCCTCCTTTTCTTCAGTTCCAAAACGATTCCCGGTTCCTCTATCTTCTCGGGCCCGTGATGGATGCACCAACGCTTAACTCATCCCAGCCCGCGTCTCTACCATCTCCTGCGGCCGGTGGTTCAACCCCAACACCCACTGGCAATCTTGCTGGCGGGCCTCCCAATTCACAGAGCCTCTCTTCAGCGTCGGGCCTACCAGCTGGGCTATCTGAAGGTGTCAATTGCATTGCAAGCCACCTTCGGTTGCAGTACCGTGGTCGCGTTCTCGGCGCGTATCCGGTCCGCCCCTGGGAACTTCTCGAAGACGCTGCTCCAATTGTCGGAATGAACGACACTGCCGTGAGCCTAAAATACTTTGACGCCCGACGCGTCAGAGCCTAGGCAATTCGCAACTCACACCGTATATAATTCACTGTTTTCTCTCCATGATTTGAGCCTTCATGTGCTGTGCTTGCCTTTTTGCTCGATACCATACCCATATTTTTGCATATATTGTCAATCTCATGTTGCTATACCTATAGGATCTGTTACGTCCTTCCTCCATCACTCTTTTGGTTATTTTCTTTCGTTCATTTGTCATCATTCTGACCGCGGGTATCGATGTTGGCGAGCAAGGGTGCACTGGTTATTGCCGTTTTTGGGATTTTGCTTTTGGTTACTTTCTTCGAGGGCATCTGGGGGTTGTATATAAGATAGAGACGGGCGTTTTGGTGGGTTGGGTGGCTCATACTTATATAGCATTTACGATTGGCATCAGTATTTGAAACTGGCATTTGAATATTTCGATCAGGGCATGATTTTGTGCATAAGCATGTACTGTTTATCTCTTGGGCGGCATTTGAGATTACTTGGGCATGATGCATACCTACTCCTAAAGTAATGACACAAGAACAGCAGGTATCTTTCTAGTAGTGGCTGATAGTAGTAACGCTTTACAGTAGGATGCTTTCAAGCGATACCAATTTCCCCAAATCGACAATGTGCACCCATCACGATTCGTGATAGTGGGTTCTTCATGCAGCTAGTTATCCATCTATATGATAATATTAAAACTAGTGCAAACGAGCTTTGTAGATCTTGAGATTGGGTTTTCCGCATTCCGTCGGCCGCAATTGAGGACAGACTACTAGGCGGAAATATTTTCCTGAAGACATCGAACATGACCTACTTCGTTACCACATTGGTACTGTCTGATCAAGAATGTATACAGTAGCCAGTAAATGTACAAATCTTTCATCCTTGCACATTAATATACTACTAACTGATCATTACTACCAAATAAGTAACTGACTCATGCATGTTATGTATCTCTGAGATACTCGTCAAGATCATCCCCAGTGTATACTAACCTGGATACACTACTAAAGTAAGTTTAGATTTCACCCAAGAAATGCCCATTTCTCCCGTCGAGGACTTTTTCAGCTCGGGGGCCTCGTATGCCCCATGCGGCAAATATTCTATCGAAAAGGAGGTTATTTAAAGCCCAACATATTTCCCCGATCTGTTCTTGCAACTCATCAATCGATCCATTCATCAAAACAATCCAATATCTTAACTACTACCACTACTACCTCCTCTTCTCTTCAATTCTTCCTCTCAATCACTCACCTCCACCTCAAAATGAAGACCTTCGCCATCTCCCTCCTAATCGCCACGGCCTCCAGCCTCGCTGTCGCTTCATTCCTCTGTCCCGAGAACAACACCCCTAAGTGCTGCACTGTCGATCCCTCGGGCCTATTTCATTCGAACTGTGGAGAACGTAAGTTGGCTGCTTGTTGTATTAGTATCATACATATGTGACTGCTAACTGCCTATCGTCTTTATAGCTAGCACAACCCCAACCAGCACTGCCGAGTTGAACTCCGTTTGTAAAGCGCAGCAGAAGGAGGCTCGATGCTGTGTTATATCTGATACTTTGCTTTGCTGGAGGATGTCTGTAATCCGGTGATTGATGCTTAAACAGTACTGAAGGTTGGAGTTGGGATATCTCGAGGAAATTTTGAAAAGTTTTGTCCTTTCCTTTTAATAATTGAACTTGGTTACTCTCTGCAGATCCCTATTTAGCCTTTACTCATTCATCACTGTAGATTGAACAGCTCCCCGACAGCCAACATATGGTACTGATTTGGTGGCTATTTGCGGAGAAGGTAGAACAGGAGGCTAGTTGCTGTTCTTCTCCTGTGTATGATCAAGGGGTTGTTTGTGGTCCGGTTGTTGGTCTTTAGGGTTGGGGTTTGGGATGGAAGAGTATGCATTTGCGTTTTATTGCGCTGGTTGGGTTCAGAACTGGGTTGGGGGAGTAGGTGTGGGGCTTTAGACATGTAGTAGGCTGTTGACATTAGACTATTCTGTTGGTCTGTTTACTACTACTTGTCAGCAAATATTGTTTTTGCTTTTTTGAGTCTGGATACATGAATATGGAACCATATAAATCCATATAAATGAAGAACAATGTGTAATATTTGTCTCGGAACTAAAAAAATGATTGCAGATATGAGTATTTGGTCATTTTTTACTGGTATGATTAAAGACAGCCCAGTATATTCAAAACGCCAATGGACTATATATTCCAGAGAGAAAAATGTGGGGAGAAAAGAGAACGTAAGAGAACGAGAGAGAGAGAGAGAGAGAGAGAGAGAGAGAGAGAGAGAGAGAGAGAGAGAGAAATAAAGAAAGGGAAAAAAAGCAAGAGGAGAAACAAGAGAGAGAGGCGCTTTTGTTTACAAGAAACCTCTCGTCTTCATCCCAACTGATATCACTTAGTCTGGCTTGGACGTCAACACAGGCAACAGACCTTGATCCCGTGCCTCTTCCTCCACCTCCAGGATGAGTTCAAGGGTGGCCTCTTCATTGAGATCGATACCTCGTATCCTCTTCATTTCGTTAACGTAGTCCCTAACTGTGCGGCCAGTGGATAGTAGCATGTCACAGGGAAGGTTGAACCGGCTGGTCTCGATGCCTTCCCGTTCTTGATTGGCCTCGCATTCTACTTCATCATCGCAGCCAGGTGTCGTGGGCTGCGTGTCAAGATTGTTGCTTGACGAAGAAGAAGAGGAGGAAGGTGATTGTGTTGTATGTGCGTTGGGGGCTTGCGATGATAATGTGTGATGAGTAGGGTACGATGGTGCGGGAGGTAAAGCACCAGAGACAGGAGGAGGTACGTGAAGACTACCGTGTACTGGTACAGCCGGCGACCAGCTATACAATAAAGGAGGCCCGTACACGGCAGGCAGGCAGGGCGGTATGGCCATGGAGGGTATATATAGTGGTGGCGAGGTGTTTAGCCCAGCCCTTTCATCGTGATTCACCACCGACTCTCCACGGTTTCCTGCGATACTGTCAGACTTGATGGTATTTGTAGAGTCAGCAAGGAAGACATACTGAGGCCGTTCGCAGCCTCTACCCTCAGAGGACGATCTCTGAGGAAGATATTCTGGTGCTGCCCGATAGCTGCTTGAGCGTGGGACCTATCCTGTAAGCGAAGTTGGTTAGCTCTGATCTTACTTTATAGTATACAAATCGGTCGCTAGTACAAAGGGTAGATTACTGTAAACTGCACCCAACCGCTATAAAGACCTGTCCTTCCTGCGCGAACCTGCGCCCAGCACGCTCCAAACTGGGAGAAGAGCTGCTCCAGTTCGTGCTGGAGGATATTCGGACAGACGCCGCTGGAGAGACTAGACAGCGTTAGGATTCTAGGAACGAGGTATGCGTCACGAAGAGCTGTTCTTACTTTCCCACATGCACACAGGCATTCGTGGGGAGCCTTAACTGGGCGTTTCCTCTGGTAATCCAAGGCGACTGTGGCTGATGTCCAGGAGAAGATGAGGATGGATGAAACAGCTGAGGCTGGGGAGTTGAGGGATGGGGGGCGAAGAACGGCGCAGCCATGACGACTGTTGTACTACACCTTGAGACTATTATTAAGGTAGTATATGGGCTAAGGATCAATAAAGAGGCGAGTATATCTGGCTTATTGTAGAACAAGCAGAGAATAGATTGTTGGGGAATAACCAGTGCGATAGAAGGGTATTTTGATGGAGGTTGGATGGAGAGAGTGGTGAGGAAGGAAAGAGAAGAGGGAAGGCTGAGGAAATTGCCGTTTCCTCGCAGCGGTAGGCCAAAAGGCATCTCCCTGGCTGTGACGTCGAGACGAGGTTATGGATTATCTCAGAAGCAGAGAAACTACTGATGCAAGATTGTAGAATCCTTTGGGCTCAACAGATGTGAAGTCAAACGGCTTGAGGATCTGTATGTTCGCGAATGAAGAGCATATCTACCTGACATAAAAAATCCTTGACGCTCTGGGCTCGCTGTTCGACTGTAGACCTGTTCGTGGCTTGCCAAATATAGCAAAATGGAATCATTTGTGATGATTGCCACACCACCAGAAAATGCCAGTATATCAAGAGAGCAGCAGGCTGTTCACTCGGGGGTGGTTTCCGCTTGAAAACAGGCCCACAGTAAAGCTTCAATTTAGGTCACTCTTCCGATAGCTTGTATGAACTCCTAGAGACATCTTCACTGTTTAGTTCAACTCCAATATTGCATCCATCTCGTCGTTTGACTCAGCGTGCACTTTCATATCATTGGCCAACAACCGATGTATGCGCTCACAAGATGATTGGTGGGATACACGCATATCATGACAGCTGATATTCTCACCGCATTGGATTCTGCCAGCAGAATCAGACAACTGGCGAATCTATGCTGATAGGAAGGATAGTTGTTGACCTACACATGACTAGTACTTAGTTCTGTGTAGGCCAACAGCAATTCTGCTGCTCAAGAATTCCGCGTCAAAGATATCCCCTATATTCAGTGGCTATTTCATAGACCAGAGCCTATTAGAATGAATATACTGGCAAGCCATGCCCTATCAATATTAGCTGCTCTCAAAGGAGTCCCCTAAATGAGATAAAATTAGCGATATACGACATAACAAAAAGGCAGACTAGATACTACTGTTATACTCACCTTCATATTTGCATCGTCAAGTCATAGCCTATTGCACACCAGGCTACCAGGCTACCATAAATCACAGAAGCCTACACATTTATATCTCCCTAGGCGGTGACCCCTCAACCACCGAGACCGGACGACCAAACCGGACAGCTTCTGCCTCAGGCCCGCACGGCCAGCGAAATTCCGACGTCATGCGCAGGTCCGAGAATCTCCTCGACGCATCGCCGCGGCACTTTACACCTGCACCAACATCCCCCCAATTGGCTTGATTTCTATCTACCCAAGCCAACATGTTTCCCACGGCCCGGTGCCTAGCTGCAAAGCCATCCGGCTTCCTCAAACGCAGCGTTGAGGAATTCGGCCGTCTATCCCGAATCGGTGCGCTTCTCCCCATCTCCACTAACCAAACTAACAGATCGAGACCGATAAACTGATTGATAAAAATGAAACTCCAGCCTGGAACAACGAAGCCCTCTCCACCCCAACCAAGCCCTACGTCCTCCTCGACTTCGAAGATGAGTCGTCCGTCGCCGGCTGCAAGACCATGGCCGACCGCGTCGTCGGAGGTTACAGCACCGCCAGTCTAGACTACGTCCCTGCGGACCCAGCCACGAACAGTCCAGCACATGCGCGTTTCCATGGAAGTATCTCGACCAAGCTTCCCAAGAACTGGCGGGTTGAGCGGACAGGTATACCCCCCTCCTCCATATCCTTCCACCTTTATTCTACTCAGAATACTCAGACTAATATGCGTGATAATAAAATTATAGGCTACGCCGCCTTCCGCAACCACGACCGCGGCTTCTGGCTCTTCGGCCGACTCTTCTGGGACGTCGATCCGTACACCTACCTCGCGCTGAGAGTAAAATCCGACGGCCGTCGATACACCGTCAACATCCAGACCGATTCCATCGTCGAGACCGATATCCACCAACACCGTCTCTACACGCGGCATCATCGCGTCCAGCCTTCCTTCTCTACCTCTGACGCGGACTCCTCTGATCTAGCGGACCGGTTGTACCCTAATGGTAGCATTCCCGCTGCTTTGTCTGATGTTCCGCCTGAGAGTATTGTCATGGGGAGTGGTAGTTCGAGTGCTACGACCTCTGGTGGGACGGGATGGGAGACGATCCTGTTGCCGTTTAACTCGTTTGTGCGCACGAATCACGGTATGGTGGTTGAGCCGCAGACGTCGATTATTCGGCAGCGGATTAAGAGTGTGGGTATTGGGTTGACGGATCGGGTGGAGGGTCCGTATGATTTGAGGATTCAGAAGGTTTGGGCGACGAATGGCATGAGTGAGGCGGAGATTGAGGAGGAGAGGAGGATTTGTGGGGCGGATGCGTTGCCGGTTGATGAGGGGGTGATGACCGGGTGGATGGGTGAGGTTAGGGGGAAGGATAAGAAGGAGGTTCAGGGTCAGAGGGAGAGTGTGAAGGAGGGTGGAGAGCCTAAGGCGAAGGGGTTGAAGGGGTTGAAGGATGAGTGGGAGGCGTAGGTGCGGATGCAGGAAAGTAGTAACTAACTTGATACCATATCTAGATTGTACAAAACAGTAATTTAACCTTTCTAGTGCCTAACTAGTCTACCATTTCCCTTTTTATGACATTTTGTTTAAAACTCATACAAAGCCCATACCAGGACTGATAATTAATTTAGTTACCACCGGTAATCTTCTCCCACGCCTCCTTGTACTTCTCACTAGTCTTCTCCGCAATCTCATCGCTCATCCGGACACCCTCCTTACCCTTCAACCCCTCCTTGACCAACCAATCGCGGAGGAACTGCTTATCGAAACTGGCCTGTCCCCGTCCAATCTCATAGGAATCCTTAGGCCAGAACCGCGACGAATCCGGCGTCAACACCTCATCAGCAAGCACCACCTCACCAGTCTCCTCATCAACACCGAACTCGAACTTGGTGTCAGCGATGATGACACCGCGGGTGAGCGCATACTCGTGGGCGATCTTGTACAGCTGAACA